CAGGCCGGCGCCGCCGCCACTTCCGCTTCCGTTCCTGGCCGCCCGGTCGCCGGAGCCAGCGTTGCTGCTTCCGCTTCCGTCTCGCGCATCTCCCAGGGAATGCGGGGCATTTCCTGTCTGCTGTACTGACGCAAAACTTCAGGGACCATCAGAAAATATCCAACCGTCAAATAAGACGAAAACTGCCCGGGGACCCCGGGGGAAACCGGACAACTTGGGGAGGAATGTGGAGGAGATCAGAGGGCAACCCAGGCTGTAGAGAAGGAGGTGGGGCATCAGACCCATACCACTAACTCTGACCAGCCCCCATCCCGGGAGAGGAGACCACACTGCCTGATGAACCCAAACTGCTCCCTAAAACCAGCTCTAAGGCTCTCCCATTGTTTTGGGGGTCACCCACTCTGTCCCTCACTTCTTGCCAAACAGTAAACACTAACTACATCTACCGTGTCCATTTCTCTTCATTTTTGGTCCTAGCCTCAGCTTTCTCTTGTCTCCACACAGAATCCATGGGCTTATCACCACTTCCCAGTCAATGTGTATTTACGTGTAAACATAATTAAAGCACTTAGGCAATTTTGGGCATGTAGGAAGGATTATGTGTTTGCTAGAATCATTTTGTTATTTTTTAACATTGTTATTATTTGTTATTGTTTTTGGTAAGATTCTCAGGGAAATAGACTTGAGCAGGGATTTGCAGCAAGCTTGTTGGGTATACTTTTAAGGAAGCAAGACAAGCGGAATTAGGCAGATGTAGTTATAATGGAGGCCTCAGCTCACTTACTGGGATCTCTGAAATTGGAGTAGCCCTTCTGAGGTGTTCATGTTCAGGCAAGCGTACCAGGCCTTTGTACCCCAATATTAACTGAGAGACAGCTGTGAAACCTCAGCAGCCTACATTCCTGGCAGCTGAGGAATGAACAGCTCTGTCCTGAAGGGAGGATTCAGGTGGTGCACCAAGCGTCCACTACATTAATACCTTGTGGTCCCTTGCCTGGCTCCCAGTAACTCTCAAGATAAGCACAGCAATCAGGATCCTTTCTTGCCATCGCCCATCACACCCCCTCTTCACATCAGCCTATGATCTCTCATTCCTTTGCAAAGGGACACTCCCTCCTCTGAGGGCCCCTTAACACAGTTTTCATACTGGGATGTCATCTGCATCCATAACTACATACTCCACCTCCACCCTCCACTGCAGATCAAGGCCAAGTCTAGTTCACATTTGTGTCCTGAGCACTAAGGTCCTTGCTGGGCTGATCAAGACTTGATTATCACAATGAGTACACCCCCCCCCCACTCTGGCCTCTCAGGGAAGTGGCGTTCAGCCCTCCCCACCTCCATGCAGATGCTCTTTCCTGTTGGGAATAATGTGCCAGAAATCCAGCTTCCTTCCTTTCTGTTGGTGGCCTTGGAGAGGGAGGGGCCTTGGTGGGAAGAAGGAACTTCTGGGCTGGGAAGAGGGAAAGAGGCTTCCTTGGGGAGAAGAATGCCACTGCTGCATGCTGGAGTCACCCAGGCCCAATGAACAAGTGGCATACCCAGCTCTGCCAGGGAAGAGGATCATTCTTCTGAAGGCCAAGGCTGTTTGCGGAGGAGGAAGAACTGGACATCTGGTAAGTCTGGTAAGTTCTATACCAAACTGTCCTGTGCAACTCAGAGAAGGAATGGGGTCCAGCAGAGGCCCGTGCTCACCCTGCTTTCCTTGGCATCTGCAGGGGCACAACTAAGAAACCCAGCAGACAAGGCCTCCTCCCAGGTGCCTTCCCCATCACGCCGCCTTCCTCTCATTTCCGGAGGAGGCTAGGCAAGAACTTCCCTCCTCCTTCTCAGTGGGGCCTAGGCAGAGGCAGTGGCTCAAAGGGGCATCTACCCTGCCTGCTCTAACTCAGATCCTTGCCCCTTGCCTACCTCAGTTCTGGCTTCTCCAGGCCCGCCATGGACTCAGCAGCCAAGGACCAAATGCAGCCTGTTCTTCCTCCTGGTATGAGCCCTTCTGGGTGGGATGGGGAGAGGAATGTTGGCAAGAAAGATGAGAGTGGTAGAGTTGGAGTCTCACTACCAGGTCTAGCTGGAGTTCCATAGGGGAGTGAGAGAAGTGGACTGCCCTAGGGTGGAGCTGAGGAGCAGGAAGGGGAGCAGGTTCGGAAGCCACTTCCTACAGGCCCTCCCCGACTGACACGGCTGCCCAGGCTCTTCCTGCCCAGGACCTGAGTGGCCAGAGCAGGAGAGGGCGGAGCAGCTGGCCCGGGGTGCAGCACTCAAGTGGGCCTCGGGCATCTTCTACCGGCCGGAGCAGCTGACTAGGTTGAGCCAGTACCGCAGTCGCGAGGAGCAGCGCACCTGCTCCCTGGAAGCACGAATCAAGGTGGGCCTGAGAGGGGAGTGGTGGTGCTGAGGCTGGGCTGCAGGGTTGGTCACGCCTCACTGGCTACCTCTCTTCACAGTCGGTGGTGCAGTCATACCTGGAAGGTGTGCAGATTGGGGTGTGGCAGCTGGCCCAGGCCCTTGAAGCCATGCAGGGAACCCGTGAGGCCCTGAGCCAGGCCCATGGGTTGCTCCAGGGCATGTCCCAGGCGTCACAGACCCTACAGCCCCTGCGGGAGAAGGTTGCCCAGCACAAGCAATTGCAGGCCCTGTCTCAGTTGCTGCCCCGGCTGCAGGCAGGTGAGTGTGCAGGGACCCTGGCACTCAGTTTCTACAAACACCCATCACTGATCAAGAGGCTGGGGCACTAGGTGGGAGATTGCATGGAGGGGCACACTAGGAACCTCCCAGAGGATAACCCAGGCTTCAAATGGCATGTGAAGCAGGGTGCTTCATCCTGAGGTTCCCAAGTATGGGATGTTGGAGTCAGGACGGACACCCCATCAAGTGACTCTGGCCATCCTATTTCAATTTAACATATTGAAATATTTCCCTATTTCAGTGAGTGAATAACCACCAGTAGGTCCCCCAACTATCCCTGCCTTCCCTCCAGGATCCTTGACTTCCTCATTCCATTAGCTCATGGGTTGAAACCTGGCTCACCAGGCCTCTAGGACTTTGCCTGAATCCTTTCACATTGGCCAGTGTTCTACTATACTGGCTATTAAGTATTTTATACATCATCCCAGCCCCAAGGCTTCAGTATCTCCTGCTGCACCCACTGCACAGTGGGAAGGCTGAAACCCAGGGCCCTCTCCTTTTTTCCCTCATTAGTGCCAGCTGCAATGGCCCACACGCAAAACCTGATTGATGGCCAACAGTTATTGGAGGCATATGTGAGCCTTCGGGAGCTGGAGCAGCTGCAAGAGGAGACTTGGGCATCCCTGGGGGGCCTGGAGTTGCCAGTCTTCCAGGGACTAGGCCTTCTGGCTGAGGCACTGGGCCAGGCTGTGGAGGCAACTGCAGGGGCTGCAGGACAGTTGGCACGGGAGAACCCAGCTCTGCTGGTGGCTGCTGTGCGTGTGGCAGAGGTGGAGGCTGGGCGAACAACACCCCTGGGGCAGGTCCCCCGCGACTGGCAGCAGCGCTGTCTGCGGGCACTACAGGAGGGCCTAGAGCGGGTCCACTTTGGGTCACCTCTGCTGCCTGAGCCAGGGGCCCTTGCAGCATGGCTGGAGGCTCTGCGGGTGGCCCTGCCAGCCGAGTTGGCCACAGCTGAGGCATTAGTAGCACCCTGCTGCCCGCCACACTACAATGTGGTCCAGCTATGGGCCCACACCCTGCACAGTGGCCTACGCCACAGCCTGCAGCAACTCCTCGCGGGGCCTGAGCTGGGAGCTGCTGACACCTTCGCCTTGCTGCATTGGGCACTGCAAGTGTACCTGGGGTCAGTGCCCTTGGGGCAGTGGGAAGAGGCCAGATCCAAAGCTGGAGGGCTCAGTGTGACACTGGGGCACCCATCTCTAGGAAGGAAATGATGGGGAGCCTGGAGTTGGGACCTGAGGCTGACGTGTCCCGGCTGGAGCCCCTCCTGACCTTGGAGAACATCGAGCAGCTAGAGGCAACATTTGTGGCCAAAGTTCAGGTGAGTGGTTGGGGAACAGGTCCAGAGAAGCTCTGCCCATCAGCTGTAGGCCTTTATCTGTGAAGTCGAATATCTATCCATTTCTGGCAGGGTCAGTGCCCTGCAGATTCCCACCACCCCTCCCCTCCCCTAGGTAAATGTGTCCCAGTGGCTGCAGAAGGCTCTGGATGGGGAAGTAGCTGAGTGGGGCCGGGAGCAAGAGCCTAACACAGACTCGTCCGGCTTCTACCACTCACCAATGCCGGCCATCGTGCTGCAGGTGGGTGGGGAGCGACCAGACAAGTGGGCAGCCCCCACAGGAAAAGGGGAGAAGGGTAGGGGTAGGGACTTTGCTGATGGCTGCCCAAACTGCCTGTAGATCCTGGATGAGAACATTCGCGTGACCAGCCTGGTCAGTGAGTCACTGCAACGTCGGGTGCATGGCATGGCACTGTCAGAACTGGGAGCATTCCTGAGCAGGTCTGCCAAGGCACTGACCCACTCCCGATCCCCAGCCCTCCTCCCAGGCCAGCCCAAAGGGGCACTGCGTGAATAAGACATACCAGTGGGAAAGGGGTCCTTCTAACAAAGACTTGGCTGTTTTGGAGGTGGGGCTAGAGTACCAGGGACTGGAGTTGTGGGGGCACCAGAGCAGCAGCAAGTTTAGGAGCCACCTCTGCTCATTGCAGCTTCAGTGATGCTCTGATCCAATTCTCCCGAGACCACCTCAGAGGGGAAGCACTGGCTCCCCATTATGTGCCCTACCTACTGGCTGCCCTCAACCACCAATCAGCACTCAGGTACCAGAAGGCCCCCTTGGAACCCCAATTCACTAATCCCCTACTGAATACCTATTATGTATGGACCTAGCCCACACTAGGCCACTAGGGACTTTGGACTCACACAGCTTGGGGGTTCCAATTCCAGTTCTGCTATTACTAGCTGTGTGACCTTGGGTGAGTTACCTAATCTTTCTGAATCTCTCTTTTCTCGTAAGTATTAATGTGGGTAAAATGAAATGTTCTGAGAATCACATGAGATGACAGACGTGAAGTTCCTACCACAGTGCTAGACACATTATTCATTCATTCGACAAATATTTTTCAAAGCCCTATTCTGTGCCAGGTAACGTCTGGAGTTACAGCTGTGGATAAAACAAACAAACAGGCCGGGCTTGGTGGCTCAGCCTGTAATCCCGTGCTTTGGGAGGCCGAGGTGAGTGAACTGTCTGAGCCCGCGGGTTCGAGACCCACCTGGGCAACTTGGTGAGACCTCATCTCTACAATAAACCAAAAAAATTAGCCGGGCATGGAGGCGCATGCCTGTAGTTCCAGCTACTTGGAAGGCTGAGGTGGAAGGATTGCTGGAGCCCAGCAGGTCGAGGCTGCAGTGGCCGGGAGCGGCCACTGCACTCCAGTCTGGATGACAGAGTGAGACTCCAACTCAAACAAACAAACAAACAAAATTTCCTTCCTCTTGGGTGTTATCTTCTTTCTGATGGGGGCAGGGAAGATAGACAAAATAATTTTTACTCCTTCCTCACTGGGATTAGCTCCCTCCCTTTACCAATGAGGAAACAGAAACCGAGATAATTATTTTCTCAAGGTCACATGGCGAATTAGAGGTACGTCTCACTGGGAGTGTCCCTTTTTGCCGAGCGCCCCCCTCCTAACCTCGAGTCCTTGCTTCAGACCTTCAGAGGTGCAGGGAGTCCCCTTCTTACTCCCTCCCTGCACACACTTGTGCCACAAGGTGGCGCCCGAGGGCCTCGACCACTGAGGACCATGCGGGCCTTGGCCTTGGTCCTGAAGCCGTATTTTTGGTCTATCTAGCTCCTCAGTGTCCGTCCTGCAGCTCGACGAGGTGGCTTCAGGGGCTTTGGCGCCGGTGGAAGCCGCGTTGGACGAGTTGCAGAGAAGGATCTACCGCCTGGTTTTGGAGGCGCTGCTGGTGGAGCTCCAGGTGAGGCTTCCTTTGGGTCGGGATGAGGACGGGAGGTGGAGATAAGCGAATGTGGGGCTGTCTCGGCGAGCAGTGCCACGTCTGGACCATTTCCCCAGCCTCTGTTCGCGGCTCTGCCCTCGCGCCGGTGGCTGACGAGCCCTGAGCTGCTGGACGGTGTATGCGAGCGGACTGGGCGCTTCTGCCGGGACTTCTGGCGCGTGCGGAACTCCGCAGTTCAGGTACGTTGGGGTGAAGGGCTCGGAGGGGCCGGCGCCGTGGGAAAGGTGGCCTGAACCCACTTGGTCGCCTTCCTCGCAGCTGTTGGCTGAGGCAGAGCGCGCCGTGGTGCTTCAGTACCTACGTGGGCTGATGCAGGGCCGCCTAGTGTGCCGTGGTGCCAGCGAGAGGACTCAGGCGGCCGAGCGACTGCGGCACGATGCTGCCCAGCTTCAGCAGCTTTTTCTCGGTTTGGTAAGAGCTCATTGGACGGGCAGGCGATTAGAGTCTCAGTGGCTGGGGGCTGGGGGCCGAGGGCCAGCGCGAGACACCAACCCCGACGTGCTCAGGGTCTGGAGGAGAGCGCGCATTGCGCGCCGGTGCTGCTTGCCCTGAGGGAGCTGCTGAACCTTCACGACCCCACGCTGCTTGGCCTCGAGGTGGCGGGCCTGCGGCAACAGTTTCCCGACGTGAGGTGCGGGGACAGCGGTCGGGGAGGGAGGAGGAGGAGCTCGGAGGGGCGGGGCGGGGCTGAAGTGCCTCCGCGGTGCCTCTGCAGCGAGGATCATGTCTCTGCCCTCTTGGACCTGCGCGGGGACGTGTCCCGAGAACAGCGCCTGGCCGCACTCAGCTCTCTGCAGGCCAGCCCGCCGCCCTCGTCCCCCACCGGCAGTCGCGCACTCTTCAGCCTAGTGCCAGCGCCTACGCCCGCTCTGTCATCCTGTCTCCCCTCCGGGTCCTGCGCCTGACGCCCGGCTGCCAGCGGAATAAAGCCACGGCTCCTGTACGCCTGAATCTGTGTGTGTTGGGGAATGGGGGGTGGAAGACAAGTGCTCGCGAGGGTTAGGGGGTCCACGCACAGTGACACGCTTAAGGTATCCTGCCTCCCGAACCGGTATACGGACTGCACACCGTACCTATCCAGACATTGGCCCTCTATGTGGAAAGCGTTCCCGAGGCCTCGGGCTCCTCCCCGGGTAGCGGACTACGAGCCCACGTATCCGCGCCGAGGCAATGAGCTTGTGCTCTGGCCGCCCAGACTCCGACTGCCTTGGTAGCACCTGAAGCCGAGAAACCCACTTGTTTGTGTTTCGCGAAGAGGGCGGGCCTAGGACGACGCCCCGCCCCCTCAGCCCCCTCAGCCCTGCCTGGCCCCGCCCCCAGGGGATTCGGGGGCGCGCCGCCGCGGAAACTGACGTGAATCCCCACGCCTTCGTGTGAGCGTGCGCGCGCCCGAGGGCGCACGTCATTAGCGTCGGCTCCCGCCGGCTGAGCGGCCGGCGACCGGCGTTGTGGAGTGGGACCCGCGGGCGGCCGGAAGAAGCGTGAACAGGTGGGGGCGCGGCACGCGGACAGGAACCCCCCCCTCAGCAAAGGCCAAGAGGCGGTGCGCGACGCGACCCCTGCTGACCTACCAGGGAACCCTCCACTCCATTGTCTCCTGGCTCCACCCTCTACTGGACACGCCCTTCGTCCCATTCCCCGCCGCTTATTGGTTGCAGGTCACGCCCCTCCTCAGTCTCTCGGTCCCCATTGGTTTTTCTTCCACGTTATCCTCTCTCGGGGCGTAGGTCACACCCTCTCATTTGTCACCAGACCCCGCCTTTAGTAGTCGGGGGTTCCTCCCCATCCAACCTTCATTCATTCTGCATCTAGTGGGTTCTGGGACATGAGGGTGAATCAGACCCCTTCCTGCCCTCGGGGAGTTGAGGGGATGGTGGGAGGATACGGACCTAGACTCCAACAGTGACAACCTAGAGCAGTAAAGAAGCCGCTGAAGCAGTGGGACTCTGATGCTGGGAAGGCTTCCCGGAGGAGGTGAGGCCTGAAGAATGGTTAAGGGTTTGCTCCAGGGATACCTTACGAGGGCATTCTTGGCGGAAGGACCTGAGACGTGAAGAAACAGGCGTATTCTGGTAATTGCAAGGAGGTAAGTTGAATGAAAGAAAGGGAAATGGAGGGGGCTGGCCCAGGTTGAGGAGTTCAGAAAAGTGTACAGTTAGTTGAGGGGAGTGACACCTGACACCTGAAATCTTTTCAGACAGCTGGTCATTAGGCAGGGTAGAGGGGGTGGGGAGGGGGAAGATCAGGTCTACATGGGGAAGCAAAGCACAAGGAAGGAATGAGTCTGGTTCTGATAAGGAAAAGGCCCTTGGGTTTATTCATTTATTGAGGAACCGTTCTAGGTCAGGTGTGGTTCTAGGGACACAGCTGTGAACACTGGAAAGGATAAAATAGGTAACTAACCTTCAAATATATAATACAAATATAAAGCGTACTGAAGTACCCTTCAGGTGGTGATAACTGCTACAGAGAACAATAATTTGGGGTAGGGAAAATTGTGGTGGAGAGGGGAAAAGAGGTTTACAATTTTAGAGAGGGCATGTTAAGGAGGCTTTTCTTTTTTTTTTTTTTTGAGTCGGAGTCTCACTGTGTCGCCCAGACTGGAGTGCAGTGGCCGCTCCTGGTCACCGCAGCCTCGACCTGCTGGGCTCCGGCAATCCTTCTGCCTCTGCCTTCCAAGTAGCTGGAACTACAGGCGAGCGCTACCACGCCTGGCTAATTTTTTGATTTATTGTAGAGATGAGGTCTCGCCTGCCCAGGCGGGTCTTGAGCCCGCGGGCTGAGGCAGTCCACTCACCTCAGCCTCCCAAAGGCGCGGGATTACAGGCTGAGCCACCGAGCCTGGCTAAGGAGGCTTTTCTAATAACATGGTATTCGTGCAGAGATTTGAGGAAAGTGAGAGAATGACCCATGCCATTGTATGGGGTGGGAATATTTTAGACCTAGAAATTATTCAGACCTAGAAATTATTCAGTTTGATATGCATGCTAAACATTCAAGTGAAGATGCTGCATTGAAGCCAGGTGTGTGTCTGTAGTCCCAGCTACTCAGGAGGCTGAGGCAGGAAGACTGCTTGAGCCCAGGAGTTCAAGACCTGACTAGACAAATAACTAGAGCCTGTCTCTTAAAAAAAAAAGTTGCATTGAATCTTGTCTAAAATTTATAGACGAGGTCTCAGCTAATATATTTAAAACTATAAGAGTGAATGAGAGGCCGGGCTCAGTGGCTCAGCCTGTGATCCCAGCACTTTGGGAGACCGAGGCAAGTGGATTGTCTGAGCCCACGGGTTCGAGACCAGCCTGGACAACTTAGCGAGACCTCATCTCTACAATAAATAAAAAAATTAACCGGGCATGGTAGCGCGCGCCTGTAGTTTCCGCTATTTGGAAGACTGAGATGGAAGGATCGTCAGAGCCCAGCAGGTTGGTGCTGGGGTGGCCATGAGAGTGCCACTGCACTTCAGCCTGGGCAACAGAGTGGGACTTCAACTCAAAAAAAAAAAAAAAAAAGAGTAGCTTAGATCAGCTAGGAAGCAAGCTTAAATGGAGAGAAGGAGAGAAGTTCCCATAGACCAGTCCTGGGGCATTACAGTATTAAGAGCTTGGGGAGATTCCAGAATGAAGTGATTGTGTCAAGTGCTGCTGATCAATATGAAGCTCATTGGTGACCTTGATCAAATCAATTTTGATGGAGAGCAGGGAATCAAAGCCTGATTGGAGTGAATTTAAGAGAGAATAGGAAAGAAGGAATTGGAGACTGGGTATAGATGACTCTTGAGGTATTGTGCTGCACAACAAGAAACAGATAGAGGCCAGGCATGGTGGCTCACCCCTGTAATCCCAGCACTTTGGGAGGATTGCTTGAGCCCAGAAGTTCAAGACCAACCTGGTTAACATAGAAAGGCGTCATCTCTACAAAAAATAAAAAAATTAGCTAAGCATTATGACATGCACCTGTAGTCCCAGCTACTTGGAAGGCTGAGGTGGAAGGATCTTTTGAGCTCAGGAGGTCAAAGCTGCAGTGAGCTGTGATTGTGCCACTGCCCTCCAGCCAGGGGGACAGAGTGAGACCCAGACTGAAAAAAAAAAAAAAAAAAAAGTAGATGGAGGGAGACACAGTGGGGATGTAGCTTGGGGAGAGTGGGCCCTAGTGAGGGTTTTGTTTTGTTTGTTAAGATAGAGACTTAATAGCATGTGTTTATGCTGATGGAAAGAATCCAGTAGAGAGGAAGAGATTGATGACGTAGGAGAAAGGAGAAATGCTGGAACTGAGTCCATGAGCAGGCAAGGGAGCTCTGCGGCTGGAGCCTCCAGTCAGTCTTGGGGAGAGACTGAGCCCTGGTACAGAGTTGGGGTGAGTGTCCCAACACTGGCCTAGGATGACCACTAGAAAGATGCTGGGGATTGGTTTGGATTTGCTGAAGTTTCCCTTGCTCCCCAAAAGCAGATTCTAATTTGGGTCTGAACAGATGGCCCAGAGTAGAGAAAGCATTGGGTGGGGGGAAGCACTAGCATAAGCAGAGGGCATTTAGGCATTCAAGTTGACTGAGGCCAAATGGGCAGGAGGATGTGGGTGGAGCCAGGTGGGAGGGGAAGAATGGCACCAAGAAGATTCCACAAGCCAAATGCAGCCTCTGAGGGTCTTTCACCTGCCATCCATCCAGGCAGCTGACGCTCCCAGACTAGGTGAGTGTTGAGCACTGAGGTTAAAGTCATGAGTAGGGTCTCAGTCCTTGCCTTCAGGAGCTTACAGGCTGAAAGGATTTCAGTATCCACCATCTTGATGGGTGTTTAAAATTCTTTGCTTTCTCCCAGCCCAGTCTACTTGGGTGAGCCTGCTGCAGGGAATGGACACTGTAGCCACCCAGACCCTGGGCTCAGCAAGAGAAATGTGGAGCACAGGGCCTATTGGTCCTCTGGCCACATCTACTTATGCTGGTCTCCACATGCCTTTCTGTGTCCCCAGAGATCGACAGTGTGGGGAATTGGAGTGGCCCAGCTGGATGTGACCCCCAGGACAGAATGGTGTTGGACTCGGGGGCTCAAGCATATGAGCAGGCACCTCCCAGCCCGCCTGCCAGTCCCTTGTCCCTGCATCATAGGCTGGAGCCCTCAGACCAAGATGGGTCACCGCTATACCCCTGGCCTCAGTCCCTGGCCTTGCCCCTGGCTCTGGCAGTCCCCTCAGCACTGCAGCCCCAGCGTGAGCGGCAGTCCTTCTCACAGCTGCGCTTGGGCCACCGTGGCCACATGCGTCGCAGTGAGAGCACCTATACTGTAAATAGTACTGGCCGACGGGGGCGTGGCACCCAGGGACAGGCTCCACCTGGACTGGGACGGAACCCAGGTAGGGGCACCCTGCGTCCTGCAGCCTCCCTGCCTCACATAGCCAAGACTCAAAGGGATGCAGGCCATGGTGCCAGCAAGAGCCCTTGCATGTTGGTGGCCCTTCGGCCAACCAACATGGACCATGAACGGGACAAATTCTTCCAGTCCCATTACACCTACAACCCACAGTTCAAGTATCAGGAGCCCATGCCCACAGCTGTGCTGGAGAAGTACCGTGAAGCCTCTGGACAGTTCATCCATCAGGTCAGTGCAGCCGGCCCACCTCACCCTGGCCCTGACCACTCAAGGGGCCTGTCCTGACCAGCCACTGTGGCCCTGTGTGCAGGCAGTTGGCATCATTGAGGCTGTCCTGGAGAAGTTTGGCACCTATGAACACTTTGAGGCTGCTACTGGAGGTCAGCTGCTGACCAAGTGCCAGATTTGGTCCATTGTGCGCAAATACATGCAGAAGGAGGGCTGCGTTGGGGAGGTGAGTGTGCCCTGCCTGGGGAGACCCTCTACATGCCCCAAATCAGGATACTAGTGCCTGGTCCCAGGCTCAACTCACACCTGGTCAGCTGGTAACCCTAGACAAACCCCTGCCCCTGCCCCTGCCCCCTGCCCCTACCCTGCCCTGCCCAAGTGAGGTGGGAGCTGGTTCTGAGCAGAGATGTTGAACAATGGGTGTCCTGGCCAAGTGTCCAGCCTGGCTGCCTTGTGGCTTCAGTGGGCCCACCTGTACACTGGCCCCAGGGCTGGTGGCCATGGCTTAGAGCACTGCCACCTACAGGTTGTGGTGCAGCTGAGTGAGGACCTGCTGTCCCAGGCAGTGATGATGGTGGAGAACAGCCGACCCACATTGGCCATCAATCTGACTGGAGCCCGCCAGTATTGGTTGGAGGGCATGCTACGGCACGAGATAGGTCAGGATGTGGGGATGTGGGTGGGTGGGTAGGAATGAGAGGGACTTGGGAGCTGGGGGAGGCAGGGAGGGGCCCCGGGGATGCCCCTTCCTTTGTTTCTCCCCTTCCCTCGGAGGACGGGCCCTTTCCCTTCCTGAGCAGCTACCTCCTACCTCTCACTCACAGAGGTAGGCCAGAACATGCCTGCCCACTCTGGGTTCACCCTCACCTCTTTCTCCTTTTGGGTATCTTTTTCTTGCTCCACTTCCTCTCTGATTTCCCTTGACAGTAGGGGCAAGACTGGTGAGGACCCAACAGGCCAGAGGGAGAACCTTGATGGTCCCACCAAGCCAACCAACACACAGGCCCTCTAGGGTGGGTGGAAGGCCAGATCCTGGGAATGGACTTGCCTTGAGGACTGGTTTGGGAGGGGACAGGCCAGGCTGGGAAGGAGGGTGCAGGACTCTAATCACTACTCCTTCCTGTCTATTCCTCTTCCTCAAGAATCCTGTTGCTCTGGGGGAAAGATGGTGGTTTTTGCTGGGGGCATCAGCGTAGCTGTCAAATGATGTGGGCATGTGGGATGTTGGGCGGGGTGGTGTATGCGTTCCATGTCTCTAGGAGGATTGGGGGGCTGTGTAGGTTTGCGAGTTCGTGTGTGTGAGCCTCTGTGGGTCCTTGAGTGCTAGTTCACCTGTGGAGGGCCTTCACGCTGCCTGGGGTTGGTCTAGAACGAGGGGAGAATTTGTATAAGGGGCTGAGTTTGGGGGCATGAGGGTATGAGTGTCCCGCTGGAGGTCGAGTGGAGCAGGACATGAGCTGGGCCCCGCCGGTGGGTCCCCTGAGGCTCCATCCAACGCCGCTTCCCCCTTGCCCTCCCCACAGGTACCCACTACCTGCGGGGCGTGAACAACGCGCGGCAGCCATGGCACAGCGCAGAAGGCCGGCTGCGATATGGGCTGCGTCCAGCCAACCCTACAGAGGAGGGCCTGGCCAGCCTGCACAGCGTGCTGTTCCGCAAGCAGCCCTTCCTGTGGCGCGCCGCACTGCTCTACTACACCATCCACCGTGCCGCATGCATGTCTTTCCGCCAGCTCTTCCAGGACCTGGCGCGCTATGTGCAGGACGCCGATGTGCGCTGGGAGTACTGCGTGCGCGCCAAGCGCGGCCAGACAGACACCTCGCTGCCAGGTGCGCGCCTGCTGGTGGTTGGGAGTTGGGGGTGTGGGGGAAGTGCTTTGAGCTGGAGGGGATGAGGGTAGGGGCTTCCGAGTGCTCATCGTCTTCTGTGCTCCCAGGCTGTTTCAGCAAGGACCAGGTGTATCTGGACGGCATCGTGCGCATTCTGCGACACCGCCAGACCATTGACTTTCCACTGCTGGCCTCGCTGGGCAAGGTGAGGGGCTGTGGACTTTCAGAGGTCCCAGCCAACTCTCTACCTCGCTGCAGCATTCCCTGAGCCTCTGATTGGTGCTAGACTGAGGGCTGGGTGCCAGGCCTCTCTAGTCAGGGGAGCATGGACCCAGGTGAGCACAGATGAAGTAACAGTCTGGCAGTCAAAATCAGGTGCTTGACCCACCCTGCAGCTGTGTGTAGATTCTGCAAATCAAAGGAGGTGAGCATTCCAGGCCAAGGGAGCAACGAGGAAGGCCTGGGAAAGAAGGCTGGAAAAGTTACAGGCAGTGGATTTGTGCCAGGCCGAGGAAAGTGAGCCTTATCTGAAGCAAGTGGGGAGTGGGACGAGCTTTAAGCACAGGGGTGGCATAGATGTTTGCTTTAGCAGACTTCCTGGACTTCCCTTGGAAGTCATACAGGAGGTGGATCGGAGAGGGAGGCCTAGGGAATGGAGTGCAGGGGCAAGAGAAGGATGCCTTTCCACTCACTCCTGCAGAATCAAAGGTGGTCTGGCCTAACCAGGCAGTGGCCATGTGGTTAGAGAGGAAGAGACAAGCTGGAGAGCTCTTCAGAGGGGACTCCCTTTAGCTCACCCTGAGTGGGAGGATGAAAGTCCAGTCCTCTCCCTGGAATCTGGGCTGGGTGACTGTGAAGAGGGTGGACCTGGCACCCAGGAGCTTGCTGTTGGACACGAGGCAGTACCTGAGAGCTATCCAGGGGACGGTGTTAAGGGGAGAGACTGGGCTGGAGAAAAGAGTGAGGTTGTGGGACATAGATGATAAAAGAGGGTGTTGAGAAAAAGAGTAAAGACCCAGGACTGAGCCTAGAGGTACAAAACACTGGGAGTGGGTCAGGAGGGCAGAGGATGAGTCTCAAGAGCAAAGGGTAATGGGCTAGAACCAGTTACGTGGGACCAGTTACCTGACTGTCAAGGGACTTTACCTACCACTAAAGCCCAGATTCTTCCTGCAGGTATCCTATGAGGATGTAGACCACCTGCGGCCCCATGGGGTGCTGGATAATACCCGGGTACCCCACTTCATGCAGGACTTGGCACGCTACCGGAAACAGCTAGAGCACATCATGGCCACCAACCGGCTGGATGAGGCAGAGCTGGGCCGCCTGCTGCCCGACTGATGTTGGTAGAGAGCTACAGGCTGAGGCCCTAGACAGGGCTCCAGATCAGCCCCCAGAACATGAAGCTGTCGACTCTGTGCTTCTTGGTTATTTCTTAGGGACATAGGGAGGGCAGGAGCATTCTGAGAGGAGTGCAATGTTAGGTTTGTGTCCCTTGCTAGCCTCCATTGGGCCTAGGGACCAGCAGCAACATGTCAGGCAAACTGAATCACTCTCCAGCTTCCAGCTTTCTGTTGAGCAGAGGGGAGGCCTGGGGGCAGAGAAGAGCTTAGCATTGATGGGTATGGGGGGGTGGTTTGGGAGTAGAGACTTGTTCTTGCATGAGATAGCTTTGGGTGTCTGGGTACTCGTCTCTCCTTTCCCCCACCTGGCCCCTTGGTGCTCCTTCAGCATTCATGCTGTCTACCTCTCACAGGGTCCTAGTGGGGGTCAGGACCCCTTCTCCTAGGGTATTGCCTGAGCCTGAGGTCCTGTTAGTAGACATCCAGCTGGTCTGGGGTGTGCTTTCCAGCATTTTGCCTCCCTCACTGGTCATGTATTTATTCTGTATTTATGTGCTCTACTTACTTTGACTGGGAGGCAGCAGCTCCTGCAAGTTCAGTGGAGGGAACAGAATGCTCCTTCCTGAAAGGCACCGATTTTCCTAGCTCTTCTCTCTCTCTCTCTCTCTCTCTCTCTCTCTCTCTTACACACACACACACACACACACACACACACACACACTTCTTCAGGCCTTGTGAGTCGAGCCCAAGAGCTCACCTGGCCCTGCCCCCATATCCTCTACTGGCCTCTACTATTCCTGGTTTTCACCATCACAGCTGGTCTCTGGCAGAGGTTGGCATAACCTGGGAGCAGCTGCAATTAGGCCTGAGTGGCAGTCCCCTAGGGTTTGTTGGCCCAAGTGTTGAGCCACACCTGGACCAGGAGAGGTGCAGAGGGGTTGTTGCTTCTTGCTTCACTTCAGATTCAACTGTGTGAGGTTGGCCCAGTCCCATTCCCACTTTTGGCCTTAGTTTTCCCATCTGTAAAACTCAGAAACACAGTTGGAAAGTCTTTATTGATTTAGTCAGCAAATATGTATAGAGTGCCTACTGTGTGCCAATTACGGTCAGAACCTGAGCTCCTAGTCTAGAAGGAAGCTAGACAATTAAAACAGTAATGACAGTAATGTGTGTGGCCTCTGTCTTCCCAAGGTCCCTTCCTGTCCCCCTCTTCTAATCTTACTTCCTCAAGCTGTGAGCTTAGTCTAAGCCCTTCCTAAAAGAAGTCCTTCTTCCCTTGCTCTCAATGTCAAGCCCAGGAACTTCCATGAAGTTGAGCTGGTGCCTACACAAGTCCCCAAATGGCTCACAAAGGGAAATGGGTTGTGTAGCAGGGCCCAGGGGTCAGACCCTTGTCCCACTAGGGGCCTGAGTCTGGGGTGTGCACAGTGTAGCTTGGGCTTTTGAGGGTGGAATAGGGCTAAGGACTAGGTAGTGGGCATGGTGGGGCACCGGGCTGCCTAGATCACTGGGACTCAGAAGCAGGCACCCACCCTCAGTTCCTGTGCAAACAGCCAGAATCGTGAAAAACGCCCAGGCCCCGACCAACCCTCTGGAGTTTATTAGCTTGTACAGTACTGGGCTGAAGGGACCCTTGGTGCCATCCGATCCAGTTTCAGCAGGATCCCAGGTCCCATCCAGCTTGGGCAAGGAACTGCTGGTCAGCGATTTGGCCTTCAGGAATCTAGAAATGATGTGGGGGAGTGCCAATGAGAGGGGGTCCGCCTTTTGTTTCCCGGGCCATGTCCTCCCGCCAAATCAACCTCACACCTTCGGACTCATCCCCCTCCTCGAAGTCGGGCTCTGGCTCTGGGTCAGGCTCGGGTTCTGGGTCAGGGTCCGGTTCTGGGTCACACTCTGGCTCTGGCTCTGGTTCTGGTTCCGGTTCTGCCTCCGGCTCTGGTTCTGGTTCCGGTTCTGCCTCCGGCTCTGGTTCCGGATCCAGCTCAGCCTCTTCAGAGGCCTCAGCTTCCGGCGCTGGCTCTGGTTCCTCTGGGGTCTGGGATTGCACCGCTTCAGAGCCCTCAGGATCCCCACCATCACTGCGTTCAGAAGATCCGGGTAGCCCGGGGCATGCGGTCCTCGAGTCGGGAGCCTCAGGCGTCCAGTGGCCTGGGCACGGAGGGTCATAGCTACGGTCCCGGTAGCCTGGGGCGGAAATGGGAGTGATTAGGCTCAATTTACCCTCTGCGATTTCTTCTGCACACACCCGCCAGCCTCTTGGGGAGACAACTCCGCCCTCCACTTAGCCTTTGCTCCGCCCCGAGACACGCCTCTCACCGGCCT